TTATCTAGTCAACTTCTATGGAGCACCTGCTGTGGACCGGGTACTGTTGTTACAGAAATACTTTTGCTTTGAGCAGGCAGCATGTGCGTGTCTTTGCAGGGAGACCCCTGATCTCAAAAGGTCTACAATAGAATATTATTCAGCCATTAAAAGGAATGAAGTACTAATATATGTTACAACATAGATGAATTTTGAAAACGTTTTGCTGAATGAAAGAAGCCAGACACAAAAAGTCACAGTATGAGTCCATTTACATGAAGTGTTCAGAACAGACAAATACAGAGGCAGAGAGTAAATTAGTGATTACCAGGGGCTTGGGGGAGGGGGAACAGGGAGTGACTGCAAATGGGTACAGGGTTTCCTTTTAGGGTGATGGAAATGTTCTAGAACTAGACAGTGGTGATGGCTGCACGATAATGTGAGTATAGTTAATGCCACTAATCGCACACTTTCAAATGGTAGATTTTATGTCCCGTGTATTTTACCACAATGAAAAATGGAAATGAAGGAGAACAGATACTTAAAAAAATCAGCCCTCTACCCAGCTGGCCTTCCTTCCCAGGGTCTTAGTTTCTCAGCACTGAGAATGGGCTGTGGTGGTTGGAGGGTCTGTTCACTCCACCAGTGTCCTGCATCTGTGTGTATGTGTGTGTGTGCATCTCTGAGGGTGGGTTTCAGTCTGGTGGGGGGGGACAGACAAACAGGGAACTAGATGATTTCGGCAAGGTTACCAAAAAAGGGGTGAGAATGAGTGAAGGACGAAGACCCCAGGGGAGCAAGGTTGCCCTGGAAGGTCTGTAAGTGTCAGACTGCTGTTCCGGGGGTGGGCTAGTGGTGGCCCTAGGGGTCAAAGTGACACAGTGGGGAACTATGCTCACTGTCCAACTTCTCATCACAGAGGAGGGATGGAGGTCGGGGATCACACTGATATGAGTGTCTGCAGGTGACAGGCGGTGGAGACAGGGATCTGGGTGACATGTGTGGGAGCTGCAGCTTGGCCTCACAAGTCCACAGTTCAAAACCCCTCTCTGGGGAGTTCCCTGGGGGTCTAGTGATTAGGATTCGGCACTTTCACTGCTGTGGCCAGGATTCAATCCCTGGTTGGGGAACTGAGATCCTGCAAGCCGTGCGGCATGGCAAAAACAAACAAACAAAAAACCCCAAAAAACCAGAACCCTCTCTGCAACTCCTAACAGTGGTGTAGCTCTGGGCCAGCCATTTCGTCTTTCTGTGCCTCAGTTTCCCTGTCGAAAACAGGGACAATTAAGAGTAACCACCTTAAAAAAAAAAAAAAAAAAAAAAAAAGAGTAACCACCTTACAGGGTTGCTGGGAGAATGAAATGGGAAGTAAACACACAAGCTGGGGGCTGCTATCGTACTGCTGCCCATTTTCCAGATGGGAAAACTGAGGCTCGGGGAGGTAGGACATGCACTTGAGGTTGCAGAGTATGGGTAGGGGCCAAGTGGGAGTCCAGGTCTGTGGCTTCAGAACCAAGTTGATCCCCATCCTGACTCCCCCCACCCTTTCACTCCCCCACCCCCTGGCTCCCCTGGCTGGTGCCAGGGCTGAGCTTAGAGGGGCTGGCCTGGAGCCCGGGAGCAGGCTGTTGCTGGGGGCTTGAATGAGGCAACCTTGCCTGGGAATCTGCCGGGCTCAAAGAGCTATTTATAGGCCGGCACTGGGAATGGGCCAACCACCCCCCTCCTCCAGCCTTGAGTGCTCTCTCTGTCTCCTCTACACTGGGGCCTGGGCCAGGGGCTGCTGCGAGTGCGGGGAGGGAGCAGGGGAGGGGGCTTGTGAGCCAGAACCGGAGCAAGGAGGCAAGACCCTCCAGGACATCTGGGCATCAGGGGTGGACAGTGTCCCCCGAAGTGCTTTTCACACACCCAAGGTGACGTACTGACAGGGCACATGCAACCATATTCACTCCTGTCACATACAATGTTACCAATAACCACTGATACAAAGCCATATGCCAGAGACACAGTGACAGCACAGGCAGCTCATATACAACCGTAACGAGCCAGGCCACATATAAGTCACACTGGCCATACATAAGTCATGTCTGCTGCACAACCAAACTCACAGCTGTGAGCCCAGCTGCACCTAGTCCCTTCACACTCAAACACACCCATTGCTGTGCACACCCATCGGAACTTAGCCTTCCTGGCAGCCACAAACAGCCCACATTTGCCCCATGTTGTTTACACCCTACTATGTTTACAGCCATGGCATTACCTACAGACAGCCAGCACCCAACCATGATCACTTGACACCAAGTTACCAACAGGGAGACAGTCCCCCCGGGGCCATGCTCACAGCACAGCCACTCATACTCAATGCTCAGCACGGCCAGTCGGCCAGTCGTGGCCCTAGGTGTTCTCACGTAAACTCAGCTCAATCCCTTCATGCTTGGCCGACCTCTCTCATGCCTATTGTCATCTCCACTTCCCCAGGCTTCCAGGCTCCCAGGCTTGCCCCCTGCCAGGACCAACAAGTCCAGTTGGAAACAAGTGAGCATCCGTTTACTCTGAGCTGGGCCCTGTGGTACTCATGCAGGCCTCGGTGGATAAATCAGACCCGGACCTGCCCCATAGAGGGGCTGCCAGCCCAGGGGACTCCATCACCCCCACCCCACAGACCCTCCAGGCTGGAGTCTTGGGGCAACCATTACACTTATTCCCCAGGGGGAACTGAGGCCTGAAGCAATCTGAGGGCTTTTCCCTGCCCTACTCTGGGATGACAAACTCATGGGAAGTGGGACCTGTTTTCTGCCATGAGTGTGGCTGCCTCCCCAGAGAGAGTCCCTGCTGACCCATACTTGCTGTGTGACTTCAGCAAATCCCTGACCCTCTCTGAGCGTCCAAGTCCTCTCCTGAAAAATGCAGAGCTCAGCTCAGTGGAGAGAGTGAGCTCTGGAGAGAGCTCCAGAGTCAGACTGGGGTTTGTATCCCGGTTCCCCTTGGTGACCTTAGCCAAATGACTTCTTTGCTTCAGTTTCCCTCAGCCAACCAGAGTTACAGCTCCTGGCTCTTCTAGACCTCCCTCTGCCCCATCCCCTGGGGTGAGGGAGGAGGGAGTGCCTAGTCTCTTCTCACTAAGGCAAATGAATGGACCACTTTTGGCTGCCCTGCTGGGAGCTTAGAGTTGCTAATTCCCTGGAGAAACAGGAGGCTCTTTCATGACCAGGCACCGGTGGGGTGAGGAGGCGGGAAGGGGGTACAAGCTGGCTTTATCCCAGTGGGCAAGGTGGCTCCATGCCAAGACCAGGAGTGGCAAGGGGGGCCCTGGGGCCATGCATATCCTCCCTGGGGAACCTTGGCAGCCAAGTGGCTGAGTGGCCGTATCCTCAGCTGTAAAATGGGAGTGACAGAGACCAGAACAGCAGATTTAATGATCCTGTGGATGGAGACAAACATGGCTTCAAGTTAAACACAGGGTAGGATCTCAACAAATGTCAGCCACTGTTGTTATGTGTCAGCCTGAAGAGCCCACTGAATTCTCCAGCAGTCCTATAGATTTCCCTCCATTTCACAGATGAGGAAACTGAGGCTCAGAGAGGTCAACATATTTGTCCAAGATCACACAGCCAATGAGTGAGTGGCCCAACCAGGATTAGAACAGGATCTGGGCCCTCCAGGGTCCATGCTCTTCCTAAATTCCTTTAGGGGTAGGGAGGTGTTTTTTGACACCCCAGCCCCAGCCCTTAGACCAGTAGAGCCAGGTCTGGATGGCACCAGGCCATGACTGAATGCAGGAAGTCCTGGCAGGCAGGGGCTGATGGGGCGGCCCTTCCGCTGGTGTCCCAGTTTCCCAGCCAGCCTCCACTCCTGGTGTGGACTTGGGCAGACACTAGTAGGATGCCAGGAGAACCATTCCCCTAGCCCTTGAAGAAAGGGACTGGATCCCAGACCATTCAGTTAAAGCCAGGAACTGCAGCCTCCTGCCAGTGGCTGCTGTGTCTCAGAACGCTCCATTCATGCAAATTGGATGGGTGTGCTGCCCTTTCTCAAACACCTTCCGTGACTGCTTTAGGCCCAGCAGGATCTGGCTCCACATATTTTATTCAAATTCATGGTCTTTCATTCAACTAGGCCTTTACTTATGCTGTTCACCCTGTCTGCCACCCCCGCCCCCCAATTTTTCTCACCCTGGTGAATTCCTGCCCACCCATTAAAGTGCAGGACAATATCCCCTCTCGCAGGAAGCCCTCCCTCCAGGTAGAACCCCTGCTTCCCTAGCCTTATCTCTCCCCCTGGCTCAGCCCTGGCCCCATGGGTCTCTGAGTGTATGTGTCTAGTTCTGTCTTCCCCAGATTGGGAGATCTTCAGATATGGGGCTGGAACTGAGGCCTCTCACAGTCCTCAGAATCACTCAGCACAGGGTTGGGCAGTAGGGAGTGGCAGTTGTTTAGTGAATCAGAGAACCAAACCTTTAGCTGTGTATCTGAGGTTCTGTATAATCCGGTTTGACAAACTCCTCTTCATTCTTCAAAACCCACCTCACATTACCCCTCCTCCAAGAAGCCTGTCCCAGGCAGCATTTACTAAGAAGACAGATTTGGAAACCGGGCCTCCTGTGTCCCAGTGGGGACACGCGAGGCTGATAAAGACTTCCAGTACAGTACTCGCACCATCGTAGCCTCTTCCTCAACTCTTCCTTTGGCCTCTGGGAGGCAGTGAAATGCAGGGGTTCCCAGGCGGCAACTGCAATCAGAGAATGAATTCGGCCGAGTTCATTCTGCCGGTAGGATGACATCATTATAAGAAGGCTCTCGGACACCAAAACTAGGGCTCTATACCCGCGGGCACCAAAGGACAGCTCCCCGCACACAGTGGACATACAATTGCTTTAGATGCCGGCCTTTTTCCTCCAGCTCCGAGGGATAGGCAATCACTGGACGAGGACCTTTTAAGAGGCGGGCGTTGAGGGGGCGGGGCTCAAACTAAACCGCGCCCCGGGAGCGGGGGCTGGGCGAGCCTGGGGCACTCTGCGCCTGCGCGGTGTTCACGCGGTTCCGGGTACTGATGTTGGCTTCCCAAGCTGTTTGCAGAGAAACTGAGGCACTGAGAGGGAGCGACTGCTCCCGAAACCCACAGGAAACCCGTTTCCCTTCCTTGGACCCACTGTGAAAGGCTTGGCCTCGGGTCATCGGCAGTGTCCCCGAAACTCCAAATTTTTCTGGCAAGGGGGTGGTCAAGGCGACATTTAGGACTGGAGTGACGGGGCAGTGACTGTTCTGGTGCCGTGCTACAGGTGAGGACGTGAAGACTCTGAGCGTGAACAAGGTCGCGCTTTGGCGGCCGGGATTTGAACCCGGACTGAGCTCAGCTCTTAGTCCTGCGAGGCTTTGTGGAACCGAGATGACCCACTCTTTGGTTTGTCCAGAGACAGTGAGCAGGTGAGAGCCCCGGGCGGGGGTGGGGTGTGAATGGCGGCGGGCAGTAGCGGACGGGGCCGTTGGCCTGGTATAGTCCCTCCCTAGTGGACAGAAATGGGGGAACCGGTGGCGAGGGAGGGGTGGGCCCAGTAGTGGGCGGGCCCTCGCCGCAGGGCTCAGCACCTCTCCACACGCCGATTCTGGTTGCCTCTAGGGTGAGTTCGGTGCTGAATCGTAACACTCGGCAGTTTGGAAAGAAGCACCTGTTTGACCAGGACGAGGAGACCTGCTGGAACTCGGACCAGGTGAGGCACCCTCTCCCTGGATCCTCCACCCCTAGTGTGAATCAGAATCAGGGGTCTGGGGCACCCTGAGAATTTGGGTGCACCCCAGCTGGGCAGTTAGGTTGGCCAGGGAGGGAACCCGTGTTCACTGTGCTCCCCACCCACCATGGACTCTGTGACTGAGAGAGGCACAGCTGGGCTCTGAGTCTGGAGTGACCATGGACCTCTATTTCTCTGCTTCCAGGGCCCCTCCCAGTGGGTAATACTGGAGTTTCCCCAGCGCATCTGTGTCTCCCAGCTGCAGATCCAGTTCCAGGGGGGCTTTTCCAGTCGCCAGGGCCGCCTCGAAGGTACTGGAAGGCCCTGGAAGATGGGGGATTAGAGGGGGTATGCTGGCCTCACTGCTCCTTTCTCTGCTGCAGGTTCTCAGGGGAGTGAGGCTCTTAGCAAGATTGTGGACTTTTATCCTGAGGACAACAACTCACTTCAGATATCCTGCCTCAGCCTCTGGGTGGGGCGGTCTGTGCCTCTGAAAGCTGTGGGCCCTGGCATGTGACCTCGAGCAACTGGCCTCTGGGTCTCCATTGCTTCACCTGTGAAATGGGCTGTTGATAATCTGTTCTGTGTTAGAGTTTCAGAGGGACCCACAGCGTGCTGGGTCACCCAGCACATTTGTAGTACCTGAGCTGGGGCTGGTGGGTGGGAAAAGATAAGGCATCTGTTTCCCTTGACTGCCCTGCTTACACTTTCCCTGTGCCATCTGCTGAGGTGGACCGGCTGAAAGTGACATTTGAGGACGCCACTGATTTCTTTGGCCGAGTGGTCATCTACCACCTGCGGGTGCTAGGGGAGAAGAAGGTATGAGGCCGCTGGGTGGCTGCCTCCTCCAGGAAGTTCTCTGGGAAGCACAGTGAAGTCCTTCAAGTTCTGCACAGAAGGTTTATTGGTTCCTCTTGGAAAGGGCTCCCTCCCACCGTCTGTCCAGGAGCTGCCTTTGAAGCCAGTTCTGGGTTCCCCCAGCTCTGGGTCGACCATTTTGTTCCCTGAGTGTCTGAGTCCCTGGCAGACGGTGTTCACTCAGGGGTGGCGGGCACCAGGTTGCTCTGGAAGAGTTTAAGGATGTGGTTCTCGATCACCTGTTGCACTGGAAACAGAACAGGGAAAAGGTGGGCCATGAACTTAACAGCGGCTGCAGAGGCACAGGCCAACCTGTACCTTCCCTTCAGGGTAAGAACAGGGGCCTCAGCCCTGGGACCTGGATGGAGGACCCATTTCATACACAGGGAAATCCAAGCCCTTGCCAGAGCACAGCTGGGAAGACAGAAGCCCCCCTCATAGGAGCCTCTATTTCCCCTGAGTTTGTAAAGATGCATTTTTGGAGGCTTTTCAGAATTATAAAAATATTCCTTACCAAACAAAATTGTCAAATTGGAACTTTTATGAAAAGATGAGAGGGACTGTGAGGAATTACTTGTCTCAAATGGAATAAAACTCCTTCAAGGAAGGAGTGGGATATTTCCCACACACCCCCACATGACCCCAGGGGGTCAGTTCTGTTAGGATCCCCCCATTTTCTGAAGTGGGGAGTCAAACTGGGGTCTGCCTACAGCCCCTACTCACACCCACCTCTCGCCGTGGAGGGGGCTAGGCTCCATGGCCATGTGAACTGTGGCCCTCCTGGTATCCTCACCCTGCCAGGGCCTCCTTTGGGCCTCTCAGTGCCTACATGTCCCCCCATTATGGCCCCTGTCACTAGCCCCATGTGCCTCGGGCTGACCTTTCCTATATCCCAGGGCCACGGCGAGGTCCATTGGGGTGTAGCCAGAGTCTGCCTCAGTGGTGAGATCAGCTCCTCGGGCTGCAAAGCAGAGCAGACACTGCAGAGAGGGCTGGGCCTGGGGGACGGGAGCCCGGGTCGGGCACGGGGACTCGGGAGGTCCAGTGACTACCCACTGTGCAGCCACAGGTCTGCTGGTTGCTGTGTGGTCTTGGACAAGAGCCTGGCCTCTCTGATGAATGTGGCCAATAGAATCTCCACCTCCAGGGTCTCTGAGGCACGCAGGGTGTGGGTTCTCAACCCAGTCGGCCAGATCCCTGTGCTATTCCTGCTACTTCCTGTCCCCACATCAATCCTCTGGGCAAAGCAGGCAGCAGCCACCCATCCCAAGAGCTGTTCAAGCAGAGCTCAGACCCTTCCCAGGCCCTCAGGATTCCTGCAGAGCCACGTGGGGCTCTAGGGCCCCTCAGGCTAGCCTCTACTCCTACTCACCCAGCAAGGCCTCCACGCACTTCACATGGTTCCCACGCACGGCATACAGAAGTGGTGTCCCTCCATTCTGTCAGGGACAGGGGTAGGGGGCAAGCAACACTATCTTTTCCAGATTCTCACGACACCCCACACCCACCAATTTAATATCGTTCCTCCTTCTGCTTGTCACTAGGCCCATCTAGTTTCTCCTTTGGGCCTCAGCTTAGATGCCCCTTCTTCCAGGAAGCCCATCCTGACTTCCCTTGGCTCTACAGGCAGCCTCTGGGCTCTTGCAGCTAGCTGTCTGTGTATCTGCCAACATAGTGTTATTCACTATACCTGAGCTGTTTATGTGTCGGCTATCCCCACCCCCCCCCAAAAAAACTGGGAGCTCTATGAGGCTTGGGGATGGGTCTGTCTTGCGTTCTTAGCGCCCAGAGCCAGCCTGGTACCCTGTGAGGTGCCCAAGGGCCAGTGGGTGGCACCTTACCCAGTCATAGATGTTGATGTCCACGTCACGCTCCAGCAGCAGCCCTACAATGTCTGTGTAGCCACCTGTGCTGGCCAGTGACAGGGCGCTCTCCCGCTCTTTGGCCAGGATGTGGGGGTCGGCACCCTGGGGGGAACAGAGGGGGACAGTGACAGAAGGGGGGGCAAAAGGAGGAGTGGGTGCATCCCCTGCAATCTTGGGGTCTCCATGTTAGCTCCATCTTACAGACACAGCACCAGCAGACTCAGCTGAGACCCTGCCCCGCCCTCGAGTCCCCAGGAAGCCCCCAGCCGGGCTGGGACGCACCCATTCAAGCAAGAAGCGGACGGTCTCAATCTCTCCAAAGGCGGAGGCCCAGATGAGGGGGGTGAAGCCTCGCTCGTCCGGCTTGTTGATGAGGTTGTCTCCTGGCAGGAGGGGGGTGGTACCACTGGGATGCACCCCTGCCCACTCTCCCCAATGCTGCAGAATTGGGGGCAGGGCAGGCAGCTGGGGTCAGATGTGGGGCGGGGAAGCATACATGTGGATGCACACACGGACATGCTCAGACACACGTACAGACATAGGTACACACGTGGAGACTCAGGTCATGTCAGCAGCCACATGCACCCACTAGCATGTGAGGTCACACAGGCACGGACACACCGGCACACGAGCGTGGGCACACACCTTTCCTCAGATGCTCCTTCAGTTGGCTCAGCTCCCCCTGGGCCGCGAGCTGGTGGATGGACAGGGCTGGGGGGCAGAGAGAGGTAGAGTCCTCACCTGTCCCATCTGAGCTCCATGCCCCAGTTTATTCCTTGTCCAAAGTTGCTCCTCTTAGCCCCTGCCAGCCCGCTACTTCTCTCCCCCGTGGGGACCGGGGTCCCACTCACAGTCCAAGGTGGCCGGCAGGGCTGATACCTCATTCCCCCGCTGCCGGTTGGTGAGGGTCGTGGAGTGCTTTAGGGAGCTGCCTGCTGGGAGAGAGAGAAAGGGCCTCAGTTTCCCCTCATTCTCCAGTATGTCTTGGGCTTCAGACCAGACCCTGGGGGCTTGGAACTACCAGAGACAGTGCGTGGCTCCACTGTTCACTCACTCCATCCTCCCAGATACCCAGGGTGTGGATTTCTCCTCCGCCCCTGGCAAGATTCCGCACAAAAGAGACAGTCCCTGCCCTCAAGGGGCCCATGGACAAGTTGGGGAGTCAGACAGAAATGGAGAAATAAAATGAGAGCTTAAGTTAAAATACGTGTTCAGGAGAAATGAAAAGCAGGTGGAAGGGGGTGGAAAGAAGGGAGGGCAGAGGGTGAGTCCCTTTTAAAGAAAATGGTCAGGGAGCGTCACTCCAAGGAGGTAACACCAGCCTAGAGCTTGGCCAGTTGAAGAAACTTGGGGAGGGTGTGGGAAGAGCATTTCACACAGGGAATGGTAGGGACAAAGGCCCCAGGGCAACTGAGTTAGACATGTTCAAGGATTCCAGTCAAAAGAAACCCTTGGGTCCTTGATAAGTCAAACAGAATTATCATCTGACCCAGCAATTCCACTCCTAGGTATCTACCCCAAAGAGTTGAAATCATGTGTTCAGACAAAAACTTGTACACGCATGTTCACAACAGCACTATTCAGTCACTAAAAGGGGATCAACCCAAATGTCCATCAATGCATAAATGAATAAACTAAATGTGGTCCAGCCATACTGTGGAATGTCATTCAGCTATAAAAGGGATGAAGCACTGACACACCATACAATGTGGATGAACCTTGAAAACATCTTGCTGAGTGAAAGGAGCCAGAACGGGAAGGGCCACGTGTTGTATGAACCCGTTTATATGAAATGTCCGGAACAGGCAAATCCATAGAAACAGAAAGCAGATTTTTGCTTCCCAAGGGCTGGAGGAAGGGAATGGGGAGTGACTGCTAATGGGTCTGGGGTTTCCTCTGGGGGTGATGGAAATGTTCTAGGACTACATAGAGGTGGAAGTTATACACCATTGTGAATGTCCTTACTGCCACTGAATTGTAAGCAATTCTGGTTAAAATGGTAACTTTTATGTTACGTGAATTTTACCACAATTTAAAAAAATAATAAGCAACCCCTCACAGGGTGGAGATGCAAGACACATCCAAGGACACAAAGACAGAAGTCCCATCTTGGGCCTGACATTCCACCATTCTTGCATCCCAGAAGCAGGAGTCCAGGGTAAGTATCCTACCTTGAGGTGAGGAGGTACCAGAATCTGGTTCAGGATTCCCAGGCTCCGGGGTGCAGGGGAAGAGACTGAGGACCACAGTGTCTGAGCCATCAGGGGCCTCACCCCTGGGGTCTTCGGGGTCCCCAAATTCTGGGGTAGAAGGCTGCTGGGTCAGGCTGAGATCCTCTGCAGGCTGGGTGGGCTCCATGGGGAAGCTGATGGAAAGGCCAAACAGGGAGAGGTGGCAATAATTATTGACAACTCATTAAATAGGCACTGACTGCATACCTGGCCTCACACAGTGAGGGTGGGTAAACTAAGACTCAGCCAGGAAATTAAAACCAGAGTCCAACTGCTTCTCAGGCCCACTCCTTCCCAACACCAGAGCACATACAATATGCATTGCTTAAAAGCCCTGGCTCTGGGGTCAGCCATCTGGGTTTGAATCCCTCCACTTATAGGCTGTGAAAACTTGGGCACATTACTTAATTTCTCTAAACCTCAGTGTCTTCATTAGTAAAATGGGGGAAAGGAGGACTAAAAAAATCATGTCTGTAAATATCTAAGCAGGAGGCCTGATACACGGGCAGATCTTAAACGTCCGCTGTGGTTTTTTTTGTTTTTTTTTTTTTTGAGGGGGGGGAATCCCTAGAATGAGTGAGGGCTCAACAAAGATGTGATTGGTTGCATCCCACCCGCCCCTCCCAAGTCAATCCAGGAGGTCCACTCACCTCCAACGAGCCTCCTCTGTCACTCCACACCGCAAGCCCGGGTCCCCCCAAACTTGGGGGCCCAACTCACAAACTTTTCTCTTCCAATTGATGTAATGGGTAGCAAAATGGAGCCTGGACCCTCTGCGCCCTGGCTTCTTCTGCCGGGACAGAGAGCAACTTGATACGCGACCGCTACCCACACCGCAGAGTGCCTCCACTGCGCCTGCGCGCCCCCGCCCCCCCGAAAGTGCGGAAGGGCTGGAGCTGTATGAGCTGTTTCTGGCCCTTTAAGGCTTGGGGGGCGTGGCTTCCGCTGGGGCAAGAGCTATGGAATTGCGCCTGCGCTTCCCCGTCCCCGCCGCTCGGGAGGGAGCCTAGTGGGAACGGGAGGGGTGGGCGGGGCCTCAGAGGGCTCTCAAGAGTTCCCTGACCTTCTCCTCCCTCACTCCCAATACCACCCACAGGTTTTCCCAGACGGAGCCAAGTGGCTCCACCTTCGGACAGACGGCGTCCCGGTCCATAACAATGTCTCCTGTGCGGTCCTGGGGGCTCAGGAGTATGTGCAGGGATTTGGTGGCAGCAGAGGGGTACAAGAAGGGAGTTTATACGGCCCGAAGTGGGCACTGCGTGGAGTATTCCCCCAATATGCCCCCGGAAAAGGGGTTCGGTAAAGGGGGGCGCCCTTCCCCTTCCCCTGCCTGAGTGTCCCTCCTGGAGCTTCAAGGGGTTCCCGGCCCCTCTTCACCCACCTGCCGATTGCCTCTTTCCCCAGTCTCTAACTCACAGCCCTTCTGTCTGGGTAGACTAAAGATCGAGGAGGGCAGGCCAATGAATGAGTAGCGGAACTGGAGAAATGCGGTGCCCCAGTTTCCCAGGGATGGTTTAGGCAGCTGTCTCCACCCCAGACTTCCGGTTCCTGTCCTCGAAATAGGGCCGCAGCCACCATGGAGGAACCGGAGATGCAGCTCAAGGGGAAGAAAGGTGGTGTGGGGCCCCGGGCGGGCGGAGGGGTCAGGAACTCGCAAAAGGGCGACCAGACTGGGGGCGGGAGGGGGCCAAGGCGCGGAGGGAGCGTTTGGGAGGTGTGATTGAACTGCCACGAAATCGCGGCTCGGCCGCTGACTAGTTTTGAAACCTTTAGAAAGTCTCTGTGCCTCGATTTTGTCATCTGTAGAATGGAGAGTATAATAGACTCCCTCCCTCCCTCCCCCCGTAAAATTGTTGTGATAATTCAGTAACTTGATAAATATTTTTAAATTTTATTTATTTTTGTCTGTGTTGTGTCTTGGTTGCTGTGCGGGCTTTCTCTAGTTGCGGTGAGTGGGGACTACTCTTACTTGCGGTGCGGAGGCTTCTCACTGCGGTGGCTTCTCTTGTTGCGGAGCACGGGCTCTAGGCGCGCGGGCTTCAGTAGTTGTGGCACACAGGCTCAGTAGTTGTGGCTCACGGGCTGTAGAGCGCAGGCTCAGTAGTTGTAAAACCCGTGCTTAGTTGCTCCGCGGCGTGTGGGATCTCCTCCGACCAGGGCTGGGACCCGTGTCTCCTGCATTGGCAGGGGGATTCTTAACCACTGCACCACCAGGGAAGCCCCCCAGGGAAGCCCCCAGTAATCTGATATCTGTAAAGCATTGGAAGAACGCTTGGGGCGTGGCAGTTGCTGTGCGTATTGTTTCTTTTGTATTTATGCATTTGCATACGTTTACATCGACTTATCAAATATATGTAAATCACATAGTTACAAATTACAAAATGCCACAAGTTATTTTTAAAGTATAAATGTCTTTGTTACTTTATTATATATGTTATTACTAGTTAATTTTTTCTTTTCTTTTTTTTTTTTTTACAAATTTATTTGTTTATAGTTTGTTTGTTTTTGGCTGCGCTACCCAGTTTGTGAAATCTCAGTTCCCCCACCAGGGATTGAACCCCGGGCCACAGCAGTGAAAGCCCGGAATCTAACCACTAGGCTACCAGGCAACTCCCACTAGTTAATTATTTAGAAGTCGCAAGTACATGTAATTCCATATCCTTCATATTAGCACTGTGAGGTGTAAGCTGCTGTGCTCCTTTTCAAAACAAGGAGGCCTAAGAAGGTAAGAGGACACATAGTTTGGAGGTGGCAGGCTGGGCTCTGCCTGAGTCAGGACACCGTGGTGAGCTAGACAAACCCAAACTGGACAGACTCATAGACATCCTCCCTTGACTCCCAGACACACGTGGGTTCTCTCCCTCATAAACTACACTGCCCTGCACAATAACATAGGGTCCATCTCTGTAACAAACCTTGAGGTGGGTACCTTTATCATTCCATTTTTGCGTATGAGGAAACAGGCTCAGAGAAGCCCACACCCTCACAAATCAAATTTTAGGTAAACATGTAACCTAATAAAGAATGAGAATTTTTACACCTGAAACTAACACAACATTGTAAATCAACTGTACTCTAATATAAAATTTAAGAAAAAAGTAGAGTGAGATTTTAAGTATAAGGGAAATGAACAAAGTGCTGAGCCTGAGAATGAAGGTGAAGGGACATCTGATTAAGCTTGGTGATTAGGGAAGGCCTTGCCCAGGAGGTGACATTTGAGCTGAGACATGAGGGATTAAGAGAAATGATGGTTGCGGGGGGAGGGAGGCAGTGTCAGTGGTGGGATCAACAGGTATGAAGGCCCTGAGGTGGCAAAGTATTCAGAGCTGTGCTGCAATACAGTAGCTACTGGTCACAGTACTTATGCATATTGAAATTAATTAAAGTTAGATAAAATTTAAAATTCAGTTTCTGAGTCACATCAGTCACATTTCAAGTGCTCAGTAGCCATATGTGACTAGTGGCTACCATATTGGGCAGTATAGACTATAGAAACTTTCCATCATCACAGAAAGTTCTTTTCGACAGTGCCGAGAGTGTCCAAGGACCAGCTAGGAGGCCATTGTGCCTGGGGCAGTGGCTGAGGAGGGCAGAGGCGGGTAACAGCAGGTAGAACATACAGGGCCTTAAGGGCCATGTTAAGGAAGGCAGATTTAATTTCTGGCTGATGGGAGTGTTTCAACCAAGGGAAAGACATATCTGATATGTTCTTTAGGAGTTCATGCCATCTGTTTTGTGGGGATTGGATTGTTGGCAGGAGTGGGCGCGGGGAGACCAGAGAGCAGCTGAGTTTGGCATCCAGGTGGGAGACAGCTATGTCTGGACCAGTGAGGGCAGTACAGTGTTAAGAATGGGTGAGTTCTGGGGCTTCCCTGGGGGCTCAGTGGTTGAGAGTCCGCCTGCCGATGCAGGGGACACGGGTTCGTGCCCTGGTCCGGGAAGATCCCACATGCCGTGGAGCGGCTGGGCCCGTGAGCCATGGCCACTGAGCCTGCGCGTCCAGAGCCTGTGCTCCGCAATGGGAGAGGCCACAACAGTGAGAGGCCCACTTACAGAAAAAAAAAAAGAATGGGTGGGTTCTGGGTTTTGTTTTGCGACAGAACAAGCAGGGTCTGCTCATTGATGGGGTAGGAAGGTCAGGGACAACCAGCTGGCTGCTGTTTGTTGAAGCAGACCCTGGGATGAGGATTTGTGTGTAGTCAACTTACCAAGAGAACCCCACAGAGGAGAGGGGGCAAACAGGACAGGGCCGGGGAGGAAGCTGAGCAAGGAGTGACCTCAGGTAAAATCCTGCAGAAAGAAGCCACAGTCTGTTCCCACAGGGGAGCTCACAGGGATGGGTCACACCTCTGAGTTGTTTCGACACACAGCACAGGACATGGGCTTTCCTACCCCTCGGTGGTCAGTCATGGCTGAGAGCCATCCATCCATGTAAACTTCCAGGCACTTTTGGGTCCGGTAGCCAGTGGGCATCTGAAGAAGAATCTTGGATTTTGTCACTGGGGTAAAAGGAATGTGAGTAGATCTGAGCAGGTGGTAGCAGTGTCCACTGTAAGTGGGTTTGGGAAGGGAAAGATCATGAATTCACTGGACACATTAATGTCATCAAGATTGAAGCCCTGCGCTCTAGAGCCCACGAGCCACAACTACTGAGCCCACGTGCCACAACTACTGAAGCCCGTGCGCCTAGAGCCCGTGCTCCACAACAAGAGAAGCCACCTCAATGAGAAGCCCGCGCACCACAACGAAGAGTAGCCCCTGCTTACCACAACTAGAGAAAGCCCGCACGCAGCAACGAAGACCCAACGCAGCCATAAATACATACATACATGCATTTATTTAAAAAAAAAAGATTAAGGCCCTTTTGTGACTCCCAGATGGAGTTGTTCGGCCCTGCTGTGACCATCTCCTGCAACCCATCACCGGGGCCACAGGTGACCCAGCCACTGGGAGGGACACTGGATACTCCTCTTTACTCTGACTGGACTCACGGGTTGAGCAACCAGGGGTCTGATGCTTTGTCTCCTTGACCCCCTGTCCACCCTACCCTCCCGTCCCACTTTGCCGACTGTCGATCCTGGACCCAGTAACAGACAAGTTTACTGAGAGTGTCTACGTCCTGGCCAACGAGCCATCCGTGGCCCTGTACCGGCTGCAGGAGCACGTGCGCCGTTCTCTGCCCGAGCTGGCCCAGCATAAGGTGAGCCGTCCCCACCCCAGCCACCGACCTCTCCCAGGGTCTGCACCTTGTGAGCTGGGGCCTACTCTGTTGGTGCAGGGGTCAAGACTGGGACACCAGCAAGGAGGCACATGGTCACCAGCCCAGATAGGGGCTGGGTGGACAGATCTGGGGCAGATTTGGAAGAATGGGACAGCAGGGTCTGCATTAGTTGTGACCTGTGTGGTGAGAAGGAGGCAGCCATGTGAGGGAAGGATATGCCAGGCAGAGAGAACAGCCTGCTCAAAGGCCCTGAGCCATAGTCGCCATGTGTTCACAGAAAGCCCAGACTGATGAGGGGTGGGAGTGGCAGGAGGAAAGATCAGGGGCTGGAGGGGGCTGTTCTCTACAGCCATGGGGATTGGTGTTCGGGTGCTCCATCCCAGAGAGCTGGGAGGATGGAGGTAGCAGCCACCCCTGCTAACAGCCCCCAACCTCCTGCAGGCTGACATGCAACGGTGGGAGGAGCAAAGCCAGGGAGCCATCTACACGGTGGAGTACGCCTGCAGGTGAGCGCCACAGCCTCTGCGCTGCCACGGTCGCCCTGTTATGCCCCGGGTGTTCAGGGGCATCTCAGCCGGCTGCCCGTGAGCCTTGCCCTGCCTGAGTAGAGGCATGCGGATCTGGACTCACCTGGCCACAGGGCAAAATTCCAGCCCAGACCTGTGCTTCTCGCTATTTGCTGGCTTCTTCCTGGCCCTCAGCCCCTCCCCATCTGTCACAGGAGGGGCTGATAAGGACTCCAGGAGGTGCCTCAAGGGGCCAATGTTTCCCACCCACGGTTGGGACCACAGACTGGCTGGTGGGGGGGAGGGCCAAAACATGAACATGACTGTTTATTTTTTAATGTTTATTTCTTTCCAATTTTTTATCTTGTGGTTAAGATGCAAATTCATCATCTTAACCATTTTTAAGTGTACAGTTCAGTGGTATTAAATACACTCATAATGCCGTGCAACTGTCCCCACCATCCATCTCCAGAACTCTTTTCATCTTGCAAAACTGCAACTCTGTCCCCATGAAACACTCACTCCCTATTCCCCGCCCCTCATTCCTGGCACCCACCCTTCTGCTTTCTGTCTAAGAATCTGACTATTCTAGGAACCTCACATAGGTGGAATCATACAGTATTTGTCTTTCTGAGACCAACTTCTTTCACTTACCGTAATGTCTTCAAGGTTCATCCAAGTTGTAGCATGTGTCAGAAGTTCCTTCCTTTTTCAGGGCTGAATAATATTCCATATGGATGGACCACATTTTGTTTATCCATTCATCTGTTGATGGACATCTGGGTTGCTTCCATGTTTTGGCTACTATGAATAAAGCTTCTGTGACCGTGGATATACCATTTATTATTTTTGTTTGTTTAACTTTCTCTAAATATCCAGATTTTTTAACCCCAAGTGAAAGAAGTGCCTGAGAATAAAAAGCAGTAGTAGGTGTTTCTTCCCATTGTTGCAGCTTTGCCAGCCTTGCCTCCTGTGCTCCTGTTGGTTCTGTTCCCCATGACTGTATTTCATGACCTGGCTTGTTCCGTTTGCTTTAGGAGTTGGCGACTTTAATTAGGAGTGCTGTTTGCCCCTGGCTTGGGCTGTGGGTTGTTTTGGTGGAGGCTGGATACTCCCCAGCAGCTCTCATCCGTGGCACTGTGTGGTTTGCCTGCCTGTTTCTGTTGTGTGGTCGAAGGTTCCTTGACAGGAAGTCGTGCCGCTGGGAGTTCTGCCTTCACCAGCCTTGGCCCTTCCGCTGGGACGGGAGGGTGACCCAGACAGATGGCATCTTCCTGAGGATAGTGGTCACAGACACCCTCCTCAGCCCCAGGAAAAGAAATGGGAGTTTTTCTCGCAGCTGCTGAATAGTTCCCAGACAGCCCAGAGTTCATCAGAAAGGTCCAGGTTCAAGGAAGAACAAATCAGTCTGTACTTTCTCCCAGTTCCTCTAGCCGTGCTAGCCAGTGCAGGAGCCCGGATCCCAGGTGGCTGTTTACACTTAAATTTTAATGAAATAAAATGCAAGATTCAGCTCCCCAGTCTCATGAACCATATTTCAAGTGCTTAGCAGCCCTAGGCTAGGCAGGGGGCCAGTCTGCTCCGAGCTCTGAGCACTTCTCTTTAGTGAGATGTGAATTTCTCTAATGCTGAAAGACTGTTTCCTTTACGGACATGAAAGTGCCCTTTTAGTTGTCAAAATGCTTTATGCAGCGTTAACGGTTGGTGTAAAACTGAAAGATATTAAAATGGTATATTGGTTGGGGTAAACTATTCAGTAGTGAGCTTATGTTAGATAGCTTTTTTTTTTTCTTTTTTTCTGTTTTTTTTTTTTTTTGTATGCGGGCCTCTCACTGTTGTGGCCTCTCCCGTTGCGGAGCACAGGCTCAGCGGCCATGGCTCACGGGCCCAGCCGTTCCGCGGCATGTGGGATCCTCCCGGACTGGGGCACAAACCCGTGTCACCTGCATCGGCAGGCGGACTCTCAACCACTGCACCACCAGGGAAGCCCTAGATAGCTTTTTTTTTTTTTTTTTTTGCGGTACGCGGGCCTCTCACTGCTGCGGCCTCTCCTGCTGCGGAGCACAGGCCCCGGACGCGCAGGCCCAGCGGCCATGGCTCACGGGCCCAGCCACTCCGCGGCATGTGGGATCCTCCCGGACCGGGGCACGAACCCGCGTCCCCCACATCGGCAGGCGGACTCTCAACCACTGCGCCACCAGGGAAGCCCTAGATAGCTTTTTATCAAGGTGGACGGGCACTAGGAAAGCTGACTACATTTGGTGGTGTCAGATGAGCAAGTTAACGGAGCGGGCAACAGCCAATTCTCCCACCTTTTGATCTCATAGCCATAAGCAGGTCCCTGACTGATAATAAATGGGAGTGGTTTCTTTGTCTTTAACAGAAGGACTTTAAAACGACCCTCTTATTTTTACTGCAGGTGTCGTTGCACAGGCAACTTTCTGGCATTAGCAAGGCCCCACGCAGCTTGGTGAATATGTTCCTGTAGTGCTGTTGGAAGGGACATTTTCATTAGACATCCAGCAATGTGGCTTCAACACCAGAGCTTAGCACAGCTTTGCAGTAGTGCCCTCTAATGGCGATGAGTCTAAACTCACCTCTAGAGCTTTTCACAGTCCAGTTGACAAGCTTCCTTCAGAGGCAGGAATAGGTTACCTAAGAGGAAAGAAAGATATTTTTGAGGTCACTTTTGCATGCTTATAGCTCCTTCAAAGCATTAGATAGTCTAGCAGCCGTTAAGCGAAAGTTGCATGTTGCCATCCAGTGCTCTGTTGCATAGGGAAATCTAAACTTTAAGCCCACAGTGAGCCCTCAGGGAGGCCCATGGAATCCTCCAGGTGCCTGATGAGTGCTGGCCCGCACAGGCATCCGCTGAGCTCTGGTTGGGGGGCGAAAAGAGCGTGGTGCCGCTGACTGGCTCCATCCTCCCATTTCAGCGCCGTGAAGAACCTTGTCGACAGCAGCGTCTACTTCCGCAGCGTGGAAGGCCTCCTCAAACAGGCCATCAGCATCCGAGACCACATGAACGCCACAGCCCAGGGCCACAGGTAGTTCCCGGGACCGCCCGCCCCTGCTGCTCTCAGCCTCCTTGCCGTAAGGACCTTCGCTGCTCAGCCAGGAACTGCCACTTCTCGCTCCTTAGACAACTCCCTCTCTTCATCTCATGGTGGCCGGTGACTTCCTTTCATCCTTTGGCGTCTGTAGTGGGAGAGTTCAGTCACTCAGCACCCAGCTCCTGAGCTCTGCTGTGTGCCTGGCCCTGGGCTGGGTGCTGGGGACACGGTAGTGACCAAGACAGGTGTGCTCATGGCCTCACGGGGAGACACACAGCAACCAGGTAAACACGGAACACACAAGAACGTTTCAGACACATGTGAAGGAGGAAAAGGACTGTGGGGGGCCTCTCTGGGGAGACGACAGAGGTGTGAGCAGAGGCTTGAACAACCTGCAGACAGAGATGACCCGGAGTCAGTGCTCCAGGCACGTCGGTGGCAGGGCAGAGGCCCGGGGCCTGGTGAGCTGGGTGTATTGGAGGAACATCTGAGGCGGGTGTGGCTGCAGTGGGTGAGCGAAAGGGAGACGGGTTCAGGGGGTGGGCAGGGGCCTCGAGGGCAGCTGGGAGGGCGCCCGGAGCTGAAAGAGGCTTTGAGCCAATGACCAGACGGTCTAAAAATGAAAACTACTTACAGTTCTTACATACCGGGGAGAGAGTTTTTGGAGAAATAGCTCTTTTTGTTTTGGTTTTCATTATAACTTAATAAACACACATGTAAACACATGCATACGTGCTATAAGCCATGGCTCAACCTTGGGATGTGTCTGGCTCCTGCAGTATGGGGTTCTGGTATGCCTGTCCTCGACCAGGCACTTAGAAAGAAAAAAAAACTGTGTTGCTTCCTGTGATAATTGAGACAAAAGAACTGTCAAAACCAAAAAAGCCTTAAAAACAAAAAACAACAAAAACCAAAAAGGCCTTGCAAATGTGTAAGAAGGGATGTGCAGCAACCTGCCCTCTGAGGGTAGCGTGGGAGGGGTTCATGATGGTTCACCTGCACTAAATAACCATCTGGCTCTGGCTGCTCTGCCCCGGGTGGGTGACAGCCATTGGGACTCGAGTTCACTGCATCAAGCCTTCCACAGTGCCATACACACAGTAGGGCCTCAAAAACCATAGCTTTTACTTTTAACTCAGTTTCCCAGCTGCTTCCAGAAGCCCTGCTTCTGCCTGCTGTTGCGAAAATGCACCGTGCTTCTGAAAGGCACCAGTAGCAGCTTGCGTAGTAGCTACTCACCTGCTATTGCATCTCTTTGCAAGCCCTGGGGGTTTGAAGCTCCCAGTCCTACGTGAGACCCAGGCATGACCTCTGAAGTGGGTGGCTGGTCCCATTTTTACAGAGGATGCCCTGAAGGCTCAGGCCAGGGGTCTTGGGGGACTGGAGTGTGACCCCAATGCACAATCCAGCCTAGCCGAGCAGGCCTCATGGCCTCTGACCTCAGCCTCATGGACGCTGCACATGTTTTGTTCCAGCCCCGAGGAACCGCCCCTGCCCTCTTCAGCCTGATCCCAGAAGAGACTTGGAGGTGCTTTGGCCCCTCTGACTCAGGTCAGTGCCAAGTGGGGCCATAAGCCTCTCTGTGCTCCTTGCTCTGAACTAACCCACGTTCTCGGCATCCAAGAACAGACCTACTTGACTAACCACTCGAGTTTTCTCCCTAGGTTTGTAGGATGGTTTCATCCGTGGGAGGCTAGAGGGTAGGGGCACCTGTGCCCTCTGCTGCTCAGGGCCGTTGTCAGCCCATCTCCCTTGTGCTTTCTCTGTCATCTTCCTGCCCCTTATCCAGGCCACAGGCCCTGTCCTGATCCCAAGGACCCCTGCCCCCCAAGACAGAGGGGAGCCCCATTTTCCATACCCTTCCACATGCCAGCTGCTTGCTTTACCCAAACACATTGTCTCAGGCAGAGCCCAGCAGGACTGTTATCCACCCAACTCTGGAATCTTCATTCTACTGCTGACCTGCTGTGTGACCCTGAGCAAGTCCCTCCCCACTCTGGTCTCTGCTTTTCCCTTCTGTCAGAGTGCTTCATTAGGCGCATCTGCATACAGTGATGTGCATTGTAGCAGTCAGCTACTGCTGCATGACAAACTATCCCAAAACTTAGTGGCTTATGACACCAATCATTTGCCTGCTTACGGTCGTGCAGTTTGGGTTGGACTCAGCCGGGCAGTTTTGCTGGGCTCACCTGGGTGCTACTTGTGGCTCTTGTGGGAGCTTGATGGGGCCAGAGAGTCAGAAGTAGCCTCACATCTGGCCCTTGACCAGTGCTGTCTGCTGCTGGTGGGGAGGGGGGTGTCTGGTCCTCCACGTGGCCTCTCCAGCAGGACAGCCCAAGCTTCTCCTGGTGGTTGGGCGCCCGGTGTGCACGTGTTCATCCAGCCTTCCCTTGCTTCAGTTATGGCTGTCCCATTGGTCAAGGCCAGTCACGTGACCAGGACCAGATGGGCGAGGACTGCAGTACTGGAAGGTGTGGTTGACCATCTGAGGAGAGCGTGGCACCAAGAAAGGCCTGGTGTCTTGTTATTCTGTGCTCATGCAGGGCAGACACAGGCAGATTGGAGGTACCCAAGGGACTGACTGTGCCCGCAGCTTGTGTAGCTCTCACAACCCCCTGCTCATTTGCTGTGATTGTGCTCTGTGCTGTGGAGGTCTTCTCAGAGGGTCAAGGGAGGCGTGGGAGGGGACAGGGCCCCCACAGCTCCTAGAGCAGCAGCCCCGAGAGCCAAGAGGCAGCAGAGTTCATGGGTGTGCAGTCAGAGTTCTTATCGGGCACTTGCTATGTGACGGGCTTAACTCTGGGCATCGGGGTGATGAGGAATCCCACAGACTGTGGGGTCACTTGGGGGACATCTGGGAGGGCCTGGAGCAAGAGGGGCTGCCAAGGGGGTCAGCAACCCACCCCATTTCCCCACCCATTGTTGCCCACCAGCCTGGACCCACACCCCAAAATCTCCCCCATCCTATCCCCTGTGCCCTGGTGCCTCACCCTCAAGCCTCAAAGATGCTGCCCTCTCCACCCGTCCACAGTCAGTGTGTTTCTCCTGCTCCTGCCTGGAGCCTCCAGGCAAGGTGTGAACATCCTGGGTCATCTGCCGTCCCTTTACTGCTACTGCCGCGCCCCCTCAGAACAAACTGCTCTGTGCCTCCGCCCGATCCCACCTGTGTACCTACAGACCCTGCTCTGCTCCCCAGAATTGCCGCCCCACTCCCTACCTCGGAGCCTCCACTCCCACTTCTCCCCAGACTGCCCCCCCCAAGGGTTGTAGGTGACTTTCACAGGATCAAGTCCTGGCCTCCCCTGCTTCTCCAGGCCCCGGGTTCTACACACAGCCTCATTTTACAGAAGAGGAAACTGAGGCTCAGAGAGGCGAGTGACCGGAAATGCCAGGATTCACATCCAGACCCTCTAACTCCCAGTGCTTCACCTCTTCCCTCAGCCTCGCCCAGGATTTTCCTCAGACGCCACCTCATCAGGGCTACCCTGCAGCCCTAGGGGTCTCTCAGACCTCGCCTTGACTCACCTCTTGCCCCCCAGCCCGACCAAAGCTTGGACCCTTGGACACAGCCTTGTGGGACTTGGCAGGGACAGAAGACCAAGTAAGTGTGGCCGGCGCATTTCTCTTGCTCTTGCCTGGAACCTCTGGGCCAGCCATGAATGCCCTGAGACGAGGCTTTGCTGCCTCTGGATTCTTACCCGCCCCCACTGGCCATGGACACGGCCATGGCCCCTCGGACCAGTAACTGCCACCATGACAGTCCTGACCATGCACCTGCTGTGTGCCCAGATCTGTGCTGGGGGCTTCACAAGGGTCATCTTTCATCCTCAGACAGCCCTATCAGGCAGATGTCACCCAAATGCAGATGGGAAAAGAGAGGCTCCGAGAGGTGGCATTATTTGTGTGCGATCACACAGAGAAGAGTAGACCCTGGCCTAGTTTGGTCCCAGCCCTGCCTCTGACATGCTGTGGGACATGGGTCTGGCACCGACCCTCCCTGGTGCTGCCTTTATCCATCTCAACAAGGAAGGCTGGACTGGACCTTCTCTACAGGCTGAGGCAGGCAGTCGTGTACCTGCCTGCCTGGACTGCATTCTGCCTTGAGCAGAAATGCCCACCTCAGGCTCAGACCATAAGGAGAAGCCACCCTAACTCCAGGGGTGGATGTGGGACCCTGGCCTGGCTAGTCAGAGCTCCCCATCTCCCAGGTCACAGTGATTGGTTTGAGATGGGCATGTGATCCAACGAGAGGTCTTCCCTGAGGATTTTGCTGGAAAAGTACCATCTTCCTTCTGGGGTTGGTGAGCTCGGCAGATGGACCAGGGGACCTGAGAACATTGCCTGGGGCCCTGGATCCAGCTGTACCTGACACTAGAAAATCTCAATTCTTCAGTTTCATGAGTCCCTAAAATTACTGTATTTGCCAAAATTGCTTTGAGTCTGTTTCTGCTGACTTGAGAAGAGCCCACGCTGATCTGATCCCTGCGAATTCCAAGCCTGGGACATCATGGCCCATGGTTTGTACACCTCGGAGGCCAGCTGTGTGCCAACAAAATGCCCAGCAAAATGTATAAGGAAGAGCAGAATTGAGTTGTCGAGGGTAGAGCCAGGGTGGGTCCCAGGCTCACTGCTCTGGGAGGATCCCCCAGCTTGGCCCAGAGAAGTGGTTGGGCGAGAGGGGTGGCAAAGGCCAAGGGCGCCCTAGGGGAGACAGAGAGGGTCCTGGTGGGGTATCAGGGCTGTGGAGGGGCCTGAGGGCCTGTGAGGAGGTTCAGGAACACAGGAGGTATTAATAATTGCCTCCCACCACCAGGAAACAGGGTCAGCCCTCTCTCACCTCTCCTAGGGTGTACTGGGGGCCTGTGTGCCACCATCCTGCCTTCCCCCTGCCCCAGCTCAGTTGAGGGGGAGGGAAGAGCCTCAGGTTCACAGTGTTTTAGGCCCTGCCTGGTGTGTAACCCCCACAGAGTCACTCTCCCTCTCTTCGCCCACTCTGAAGGCACCTCTCGTCCATCTTTCCTTCTACCATGCAGCCATGTATCCATCAAACATTGACCGTTCTCTCTGAGCTAGGCCCTGCCTGCCCAGGGGATGCCCTGGTGAGCCAGACAGACCAACCCTGGCTCCAGGGCTCAGACCCGCTGGACAGACAGGCAGCTAAGTGAGGTAACTGCATGTATCCCAGAGGCAGCCTTGGATGGCTCAGGCGCTGCTGTGAGCTAGTGAGGGGCAGTCATGAGGTGCCCTAGACCTTCCGAGGGCTCCCTGTCACCCACGGCCCCTGAACATGACCTTAGCCAGGGATTAATAGTACTCTCAAAGAGGTCTGTGCAGGACTGTGGGTTGTTAGATGCCCCACCACCCCAAATCCTGGGGCTCACGGAGGTGCTGGTTATTTGCTCTTTGCGTGGCCGGCTCGCCTTTCATGCCTGGCGAACGTCCTCCCCTGCCGGCCGCAAGGGGGCGCAAGAGGCAAAGCTTTGGCCGGGCACTCCGCCTCCAAGCTGTTCTTAGCCCCTGATTCAAGCCCCAGTCCCCAGTCTTGGCCGATCCTGAAGGGTGCATCGTGACCCTCCGCCCTTTTTCACTTCATACGTTCTTGCTTCCATTTTCTAGAAAGCGAACTAAGGCTCCGCAAGGCCAGATTACCCAGCAACAACCCCCCCCCTCTGCCCCGCCGCCCTGGCCCCCCTCCCCCCCTCCCCCCCCCCCCCCGCCCGCCCGGAGTGAAGGGTGTGGGCATGCCCAGATCTAGCTCACTAAGACTTGCTCCCAGAAATAGGTGGGCAGCCAGGAGAGTGACAGGGAACTCTCCGTGCCACGGGGCATTCAAGTAGGGAGCCTAGCACCCACGGGTGGGGGTAACCTGGAAGGGCTCCCTGGGTTAAGCGTTGGAACTGTCCCCCCCACCCTCCACCAGTCTCCTTCAAATTTGTGGATGGAGTAAAAGGAGGCCCGGGAGGGCGGTGACTTGTCTCCAGTTGGTCCACAGTGGTCAGGATGGGAATCAGACTTGAGTTTTGGCTTTTTGTTCTTAGCCCCTGGTTTTTTGTTTTTGTTTTGTTTTTGCGGTACGCGGGCCTCTCACTGTTGTGGCCTCTCCCGTTGCGGAGTACAGGCTCCGGACGTGCAGGCTTAGTGGCCATGGCTCACGGGCCCAGCCGCTCCGCGGCATGTGGGATCTTCCCGGACCGGGGCACAAACCCGTGTCCCCTGCATCGGCAGGCGGACTCTCAAACACTGTGCCACCAGGGAAGCCCCAAGTCCTAGTTTTTATTTCAGGCCTGCTCTGTACTCTGAGGGTCCTGCCCCTGGGAAGCCCCTTCCTGGCCCCTGCCTCATCCCCCAGCAAGGCCTCTGGATGCCCCAAGATTGGTCCGCATGCTCCTATGCTACTCAGACCCTCTCCAGGACTCCAGTTCTTCAAGAAACCCATGGAAACACCCCTTTTGTGCTACCACAACACACGGCCCAGGCTCCGGGAGACAGAGCTGGACACAGACATTTCTAAACCATGGGGTCAGCGCTCAGGTAGAAGGAGGGATGGGGGTGTCAGAACACCAGATGGGAGGGGGGATAGGTAAGGCTTTTGGAGGAGGAGGGGGCATTGGAGGCCGACCTTGAAACACTTCTCCCCTGCCAGAGGAGAGACTACTATTGTCCCCACTTTTCACATGAGCAAACAGGCTCAGAGGGGTGAAGTGACTGGCCTGAGGTCACACAGCGAGTGGGAGTCAGAGCTGGAATGGGAACCCAGGGTCCTCGAACCCTGAAGCCCTACCCACTGGACCACACTGTCCTTGCCATGGAGGATCCTTCAAAGGCTTCCCCTGCTGACATTCTGGGAGAGGATCTGGAGAGGGAGACTTGGGGCGAGCAGCTTCTACACCTCCTCACCTTCCCATCCCTGTCTCCACCTTCCCCATCTTCCAGGCCCCTTTCCCAGATCTTCCTCTCTGGCCTTTTCCATTCCCTTCTCCCCCAAAATCTCCCTTTCAACCCCCCAACCTCTTACTCCAGCACCTAAGAGTGTCCCCTCATCTGAGAAGACTGAGGTCGAGACTCTTGATTGGCCCAGTGGGGGGTGTGGGTCCACACGGGGTAACACAGCCAGCGATGGGGGAGGGTATAGGACAGGAACAGGGGTAAAGGCAGAAAGAAGGAGCCATTATAGGAAACGGTGTGAATGATAGAAGATGGTATGGACCGGAATGGGAAGGGTGTTTGGGAACATGAGTGGTGGAAGGGGACAACGTGGCAGGGGCAAGAACACAGGAGCAAGCCCCAGTGGTGAGGGGGCAAGAGGTGTGGCCCATAGTGGGCAGCCCCAGCTGGCCCAGTCCAGGCTGCTCCCAGAGCTGCTCCAGCTGCCGCCCTCACATAACCAGAGCCTGCTTGTTGCATCAGAGGCAGGCAGGCGGTCTTGGGTAAACAAAGCAGCTCTCGAGGGCCCCAGGGCTCCCCAGCCACCTCCACACTCCCCAAGCCTTGTTCTGTGCCTTTGAGCCCAGGCAGAAGCCCCCAACCTGGCCTAGGCCCTGGTGTGTTCTTGGGACACCTGAGTGTCTGGTGTTGGACACTGAAGGGCAGCAAAGACGGGGTGGGAGAGGCAGGAACCCTGATCCCCACCTTTATGACAGTGTGAACCCTAGTTTTTTTGGTCCAAAGAGAAATCTATGCCCAGGCTGGGGGTCCAAACTGCCCATGTCACAGATGGGGAAACTGAGGTGTGGGGAGAGGCAGGGTCTCTGTTCCCTTCCTCAGTGTCCCCCACATACTAATATCTCCACATGTTCCCCCCTGAGTCCACGGGTCCAATCACCTCCTGTTGTCTTCTTAGAAGGTGGACACCAAGCAGCCATTGCAACCCACCTGCTCTCCCCTTTCATCTGCCCCAGTGGACCCCCTCCCCCTATCTCCAAGCCTCTCTTTGGGTGCCCAGCTCAATCTACTTCCACTCCCTGCTCTGGCTTCATCTTCCCCCACGAAAGAATGTTCTGCACTCTTTCTCTGAACCTTTGCAAGTCCTGTTCCCTCTTCTTCTCCAGTGGCAAACTCCTACTCATGCTTCAAGGTCCAGTATAAATGCTCCACCCCTCTTTGGGGGAAGCCCTCCCTGACACCTCTGGCCCAGTTCTGATCCCACAGAGATAGGGAGTATGTGGTAGCTCTGCCTCCTTCAGGCTGGGGGCTTCTCCAGGATTGCCCAGTCAAAAGTCATCTTCATCCTGTAATTCTTTCCACCTTGATTCACTCATTAATCCTGCTCTGATCCCCCTCTGGGCCTGGACCTGTGCTGGGTGGTGCTGGGATCCCAGGGAGCGGGTCCAGTCCTGGAAGCTGACCTTTGAAGTGGAGGAGGGCGCCCAGCCACCGAGGGGTCTGTTACCCTCCTGTCGAAGCACGTGGGTCACACATTCAGCTGCAGGAGGCACACAGCTGCGAGGTCCCTCAGCGACCCCAGAGCCCCTCTCTTCAGTCCCTCCATTTGGGTGAGAGCAAGGGTCAGGGTTGGCTTCGAGAAAGTCTCGGTGCCTGGGGCCTCAGGTCCCGGGTCGGAGTTACATTTCACTCAGGTTGGAGTTAGTCCAGAGTAGGAGATAGCAGGGGGTTACAGACAGGGTCCGAATTAGGGTCAGGCTCAGCAGGTCAGGGTCGCCCACTGACATCGGGGGAAGCCTGGCAGGTCTGATCCAGCTCCCTCCCGGGCCCCCCTCCCTCATTATACTATTCCCCACCTCAGAGTCTTCCCGCGTCCGAGTCCCGGGCTCCAGAACTCCCGGGACCCGGCGACGCCCGAGTGCCCGCCCGTCGCAGCCCGCGGACACGCCCTCTATGCAAATTTACGCCCCGCCCAATCATCTCCCGGGGGCGGGGCCGCCCGCTCTGAAGGCCCCTGCGGCTGCCGGGCGCTCGGGGTTCTGAGCCGCTTCCTCCAGGTTGGTGCGCGAGCGTCCAAGGGCCCAGGTGTAGCAGGTGCGTGTTGCGTCGGGCCGAGGTTTTTGCGGTGTCCTTTGAATGGCATCTGTGGGCTGGGTTGAGTTTGAAAGTCCGAATGTCCTGCTGTACGAGGGAGAGTTTTGTCTAAGAGGTGTGCAGTCCTAGGATTGTGAGTTTGAGAGGTTATGTGTCCTGGGTTTGTGTGTCCAAAGGGTATGTGTCCAAGGGGTGTGAGTCTGAGGGTTGTGTTCGGGGGGGGGGGGGGGTTTCAAGGGTTGTGGTTCTGAGTGGTTGTGTGTCCGAAAGGGTGAGTGTCCCAGGGGTTGCATGTCCAGGAGTTATGTCTGAAGGAATGTGTGTCATGTCTGAGGGGTTGTGTGTCCAAAGGGCATGTGTCTGAGGGTTGTGTCAGTTGGGGAATTGTGAGTCCAAAGTTGTAGTGCCATGAGCCCCTGGTATGCGACTGTGAGTTACAGTGGTCCCCTTTCC